GATTGTAAGAAACTGATATTTGCTTGCAGCAGACTTAAGTATCAGTCTTTTTTAAGAAGACTTCTACAGAAGTCTGCTGCTCGACTATTTAATGGTGAAATGATCCTTTGTATCAGAGATTTTCCGTATTGCTCTTTTTAAACAGATTTTCAACACATAGTCTAACAACGTCGTGTAGACTTACCTATTAGTCTCCTCTTTTGAAGACTAATACATAAGTCTACTCGACAGAAAGTAGACTTCTTTAGCAGTCTTCTGTAAGTGAAGACTAATAAGTAAGTCTGCACGACAGAAAGCAGAGACAAAAGTAAGACATAATAGAACATTGATAGAAATAAAACAACACATAAATTCATTACATAAGACAACTTATAAGTTCAACACATAAGACAACTTATAAGTTCAACACATAAGACATAATAGAACATTGATATCAATAAGACATCACATAAGTTCAACACATAAGACATAACAGAACATCGATAGCAATGAGACAACACATAAAGACACTAGCAGAGGTTTAGTCTGGACAGTTTGGAGCAGTGTGGCCTGGTTTTTTGCACTGAGAGCAGCTATAATTCTTGTGCAGCTTTCGTGGCCTGTTTCCCCTCATCCTGGAAATTTCTAGCCAAGATTGCCACCTCGACTTCTTTTGCCTACCTGGACCACGCTTGACATCTGGAGGAAGGCATTTACGGCTGTTAGAAGCTTCTTTGTCCTCACTTTGAGTTTCCAAATCCTCATTGGCTGGTGGAGCTTCCAAATCTTCATTCGCAGGTGGTGTTTCTTTGCTTATGGGAGATTCTACATCGTCACTTTTCGGGTAGATATTTGCCGCGTATGCTGCATAAAGATAATTCTTTGAATAGGATGGGCATACAAGCGTGGAAACATGAATACTTGCATCCTTTGCTGCTGCAATGGCATGTGAACAAGGTATCTTCTCAATATCAAACACACCACATTGACACCTTCGATGCTCCAAGTCAACAACACAATCTCGATGTCCTCCTTTCACCA